CTAATCAGATTATGTTGGAGGTTTCCCCCCGGAGGATTTAAGGCTTAGTGTATATGCCTAATCATATTAATTAAGAACCCTATAAAATTTCTGGAGCGCTTAAGAGAGAGGACCCAAAATTGTCGGAGGTTTTCAGGGGTTAAAGGTTAGTTATAAGATAGAAGGCTCGAAACATCTGTAAGAGTTTTAGAGGATTTAAGGCAAAAAGTGATATCGGATCCCCTCTTTTTAAGGCTTTAAACCCGTAAAATTTTGAATCTCCACTCTTTAAAGTGTTAAAGAAAACCGCAAATTCCTTAGAATTCCCGAAAGTTTGGGACGTTTTGGGGGGGTCGAGAGAAAAAACTGTCGGAGCGTTTTTCAAGATGACCCCTCGAGGGGGTTTCGCGTCACTGGATCACGTGATAACGGCGCGTGTTCTTGCTCTTATTAATCGATAGGTGTAATAGTTTTTAGTGAATAAATCCGAATCAGAAGGGTGGTAATACGGAGCGCGCGAGGGGGGGTGTCGATCGAAGAGCATTACACGAGTTGCACCCGATGTAATCATGCTAACAGCATGACAAATATATTAAGCGACCACCAAATGACTGCATGCAGGGCGCTAAAAGAGTCAACAGGTAAAAGCTGATCCGTGACAATTCTTCATGCATAAATCATGAAGTGTGCAGTCGGAGCGGCTCCTCACCCCGACTAGGGGGGAAATACCACGTGATAGGCCTTAGTTTCGCGTCATTTAAAGGGGCCTCCAATGTTTAATAATCAGTTCTTACCCCCCTCCCCCTTCGTCTCGTTCCGTTTGTTTACGTGGCGGTGCCGTTAGGGGACGATTTGAAATGATTTACGTCGCGTTTACGAAATGTTTTGTCGTCTCGGTTGGAGGGAAATATCACGTAATAGGCCCACATTTACTTCGTTTTAAAAAGGGCCTCATTGGGGTTTCCTTCTCGCATTTAGTTTCTTTAGGGGTTGTTATGTAGTAGCATCTTCAGAGGAATAAATGAAGGCGTTTACTTGCTACTGGAGAATGTTGCATAAAGGATTTCGATGTTTAATAATCGGAATTTCTTCTCTTCCCTTTTCTCCGTCTTGGTAAGCCTTTAGAACGTGTCAAAATGACTAAGATGTGCCTGACTGTGACGTCATTAAAAGAGGGACTCGAGTGTAATAATCAAAACTTTTAATCTCCTTCTCTCCCCTCTGTCTTAAGGGGTTGTTTACTTGTTAGTGTCTTTATGGGGGTGAGTCAAGCTGATTCACGCCGCGTTTACAAGATTGGTAACACACCAGGTGACTAAGACACCATGCACGTGCCCTGGAACTCCGAACTTCGGCATCGTCACGCGCTATTTTGTTAGAGCGTACAGTACGTGACAGACAAATCCAGTAAACGTTACTGAAAGAAAAAACAAAGAAGGGGGTCCTCGCTCACGTGACGCGGGAAGGGGACGCGCTCTGATCGAAAAAATAAAAAAAGTTAGAAACTGTAAAACTATCGAGTGGTGTCCCTAGACACTTAGTAAATTCTGGTAACGTTTCCGACTTCATTAAGCACTCGATCGTGCGTGGACGTGAAGATGCACTATCAAACGATTCTGCTCGTTAGCCCCTCTCTAGGGGACCCCACTAAAAAGTATCGCTTCTTTTTACTTCCGGTGCCCAAGGGATCCCGTAACGAGAGGAGTAACTCGATTGGGGGGGGGGCAAGAACGAGTCCTGCTTGACACTCGTCACACGACCTTCTTCTTTTCCCTTCACCCCTTTCGGTCTAGGAATCCTTAAGTAGGTAGGTGGTGACTAGAGAGATTCTTTCCTCCTCCGTGTCACGTGACGGAAAATAGTTTCATCTCTGGAAAGGGGGGCGTGCGCGAAGGGGTGTCAAGGGGTGGACGAACATATCGGAGTAAAAATTGTACGTCTAATAGCACGGAAATGGTGTTAATGAGGTAATCGGTGTAGGAAGTAAAAATTCCTTGTTTAATTAGCAAACAGGGCTATTTGCTGACAGCCGAGCCTTTTTTAATGCTATTAGCATATCAAATAATGGTAAAGAGGTTGAAATTATTCATTTACACATGGTTAAAAACAGGTAGAACTGATTAAATCCCAAAATATTATAACAATAACACTCTAAGTCGGGGGTTTTAGGTTCATAACGGGGGTAAAATCGCAACTGATAACTGTTAATTTATATAATTACATAATAGAGCCTTTCAGCTCAAAGTATCGATAACGTAAGCCTTCGTACCCTAAAAAAATTATTAGATTTTTAACGTGTTCTTTGTTCCCTATTATAGATCGATTTTATAATAAGTGAACCAAGTTCTTTAGCTGTTAAGGCTTTCAAAATAAGGCTCAAAATTTTTATTAATCTTCGTTAAACCGAGCGAAAGCCTTTAAGAAATAAACAAGAGAGTTTACGCCTGGAGAGTTTTTTTTTAATTTTATTATTTATTTAGCCTTTAAATGTATGATTTAGCCTTAAAAATGATAAAGCTTTATGCCCGGACTGAAATATATCTAAGTATTAAAGGTATAAATATTATTATAAAACCAAGGGCATTTGCGCAGTCTTTAGCCTGAATTTTACAAAATTGAGGCTTAAAGGCTGCATAAAACCTTGCTTACTAAAATCTGCAAGGCTCTAAAAGGGCCTAGAGACACTCAAGATGAAAAACAAAAATTTCATTAATTAGGGATATATCCCTAAATGCGGGAAGTTTTTTCCCCGACAGGAAAAAATTCTCTAAATGAGGAATATTTTTTCCCCTGAACAGAGGGATGATTTTTAAGGGGTTTTTCTGGATTGGGGAAAAAATAAATTGGAGGGATGTTATCGTAACTAGAAAAAATAAATTTTCCGAACATTTTTTCCTAGGGTGATAACCAGGGAATTTTCCCCAGAGAAAGGCAAATTTGCAGGAATTTTTTCCCTAAACAGAAAAATATCTTTTTTTTTTAGACTTGCTTAAGTATGGTAATGATATTTTTGAGAGTTTATTCTGAATGGAAATATATTTTGTAGGGAATTTTCCCTATTGAAAGAAATATTAAACAAGAATAGGGAAAGAAATCGTGTAAAATTAGTAACCTAAGCATGCAGAAAATCATTCAAATTAATGCTTGTATTATCCTATATCATTGAGGGGGTGAGGATAACATACCAAGGCTAATTAGGACAAAAACATGACCTAAATTTAGGCTATCAGACCCGAAGATTACACAAACCACCCTCGTTATAATCAAAACAACAGCAATAAATTATCCATTCATAAAGCAACTAAAACATCAATTAAAAGAGGGACCGAGCGATTACCTTAACGATTTTCTCGGAAATCGATACACTTTCTAAAATGATTAAAAATTCATTAAATCGAGGTAAAAAAATATATTAACGAATCGTTTTCACTTAAATGAATTCAAAAAAAAAAAATTTGAAATTTTTTACGTCACGAACACGTCATTTCCTCATTTTAATAACTTTTATAAACGCTAGATGTCGTCACCTCATACCATATTTATATAGGATTTTAAACGATTTTGTGGGGAATTTCACGAAAATTTCACGAATTTCCATTTTAAAAATGCTATCGGGATGGATTTGTAACAGGGGAATAAGTTTAACAGATGAAATCGCTTGTAATTTCACTAATTAAACGTCCCGAACGAATTATATGACCCATTCTAGATCGGATCTAGATTTCTAGACCGTTCTAGATCGATATTCGCCATTGAAATACGATCCTTTATTGGCAAAATTCTCGTATTTTAAAGTATCTTAACGGTGTTTTCAAGCGTGTAATCCCATAGAGAATATTCCTGAAGAATAAACCTGACACGTTGAATCACGTTGACCAATGCCAGCCTAAGGTAGTATTAGTCAAAACAGTGATGAATGTACATGTACTGTACAGTGTGAGTGGACCTCATGTTTCGAATCTAGTAGTTCAAAGTACTTTGCTGATTAATACAAAATGCTTCAAAACATATTAGTCCTTCAGTCTAATCTTTCTATCAGACTTTTGGTGACTACGTGTTTACTTGAATGCCCTGTAAATAATTAAGGCATCATAAATATGAGGCCTTCTAAAATCTCTCTACTAGAGCCTTTAAAATATGGAGGACTCTATATCGATACTTAAAGGCTAAAATAATAAAGGAGCTTGAGGTTTTAAATGGCTTCAACTTAATATTGCCTGAAAACGACGTTTTATGGTTTTATAATGTTTTAAATCATTTATTGCACCATTTAATGCCTAAATTAGGGACTAAAATAGTTCCTGACCTGTAAAATCCCGAGATTTATACCTTTATATAAATAAGGCTCATGTGCATCTAATATACGAATCAAATTAAGGCTTATGTGCGAATACGGAAAAGGGACTCTTATATGTTATAATTTAAGCTTTAATAAATCTAAATCATGCTGATACGTGTTTTTTAACACAAGAATGGGAGTTCCTCCCTGCCGTGCAGACTTCTATGCTTTAAAAGTACGCTTCTAACAGTTTATATTCGATTAAAAAACAAAAATATCGAGAATTTTAACGCAAAAATCGCGAAATCTTGCATTAAAAAAGGTAAAAATACGCGTGGAGAGGGAGGGAAAAACGACACTAATTCTTTCTAAATTAGAACGTAGCCCTGATTAGAGGAAGGTGTTAAACATTCGTCAGACGTAGGAAGGAAAGTCACTCCCCCCCAGATACTAATTTAGGGGGTTCCTCTAACGAGCGAAATTGAAAAGTGATAAATATGGCGATGAGGTCAGCGGATGACAAACAGCGGAAAAAAGGGCGAAAGGTCAAATCACTACATTATAAAGGGAGAAACGAGAGGCCGCACTCGCATCTGGAGAAGGCGTGACGCGGTTGATTGGCGGTTGGAGAGACGTCAGAAAAGCTCACCCCGTCATATAGGAGGGGCCAGGAGTGACATCACGCGCCTGCGTATCAACAACGAGGTAGTAGAGGGTGGCACTTTTTCACTTCTACCTTTTGCGTCTGGTACATATTTACCTTGTCTCTCTCAGTGTTCACTTCCCATCGATCGGGGTAAGGACAATGCTCATCTTCACCTGATTAAAGAAGCAAAGTGTGTATGGAGTGTTTGCCGTGAACCCGCAACATGCTGACCCACAAGAATTACGCCGATACCACCTGCAACGTTACCACCCTTCAACCCATGGGCCACAATAACTACGGAATGAACGTTAGCACCTACAACGCTCAGAATTTCGGTAACAACATGATTCCCCCCATGAGTATGGGAATGAGCAACAGTTGCATGTCTCCGACCATGAGCCAACTCGGACTCAATCAGGGTATGAACCCTACGTGTATGGGGGTAACGCCGGCACTGAGCGGTGGTTACAGTGGGGGTGGTGAATCGACGGCGTTGCAGAGAGCCCGAGCCGACAAGACCTATCGTCGTAATTACACGCACGCAAAGCCACCGTATTCTTACATCAGCCTGATCACCATGGCCATTCAGAATTCGCCCACCAAGATGCTGACCCTGAGCGAAATCTACCAATTCATCATGGACCTCTTCCCGTACTATCGGCAGAATCAGCAGAGGTGGCAGAATTCCATACGTCACAGCCTCAGCTTCAACGATTGTTTCGTCAAAGTGCCACGGACACCGGACAAGCCAGGAAAGGGCAGTTTTTGGACGCTGCACCCCGAATCTGGCAACATGTTCGAGAACGGATGCTACCTGAGACGACAGAAACGCTTCAAGTGCGAAAAGAAAGAAGCCATGAGACAGGCCAACAAGGCACAATCGCCCAAAGTTAAGGCAGATTCGACTACATCGCCTAGCAACAGGCTGTCACCCTGTCGTTCCAGTCCCATGCAGTATCCCATGGCAGAACCATACGTAGAACCCCATAACTGCAAATCAGACGGTAGTTGCTGTGGTCAAGCCCAGATGGACCCTTCGCTTCTACACCTGCGCGGATTTCAGGACAACCTACACATGGGCCAAATGAAGAACTTTAGTCCTTCCAACCACCCCTTTTCCATCAATAACATCATCAACGAGAACAAACTGGACATGAAACTGTATGAAGTCTCTAATTATACCATGTATCCTCCTCCTCTTTCGCCCGGACACGACCCTTCTCATTACTATTCGTCTTCTATCTATCCTGTGCATCCTGCCACGTCTATGTAGATAAAGTAGGAGGCCCCATTGGAGGAGGCCCTCCTAAGAAAATCCTTAGATTTTAAGAAAAAAAAAATAGGTGAGTAGGTCCTAAATTTAGCAAATTGGGTCTTATATATATATATATTTTTTTTTTTCGTTCTTTTTTTCTCCCCTTCTCCCCCTGTCTCGTGACGTCATTAGTATGTAAATATTTAAGAAAGACGTGGAATTTTGCGGGTTATCAGGCCTCATATTGACTAAAAATTATAACAATAATAACAAAAATTATAAAGGAAAAGATGCTTTGTAACTTGTAAAATTGTGTACAATAATTATACAAAAGAGGTGTGCGGAAAATAAATATTTTATGGGATCTTATCTTTGACTCCTTGTCCATTTTTTTTTGGGTGGTTTCACTCGAAAATTCGCCCAATCCCTTACGAGATATACGTTAAATTATCTAGAAAGGGGCCTTCTCGAGTTCGACACGTCAAACGAAGCCTTTAATCCGGGTTTAATTTAATTTTTATCGGGTATTTCTTGGTTTTAAGAAACACGGTAAACTGCCTTTTGACGTTCTGAAATCGAAAAGGCCCCCTTCGCCATTAAGGGCCTCTTAAATTTGATGATAAGTCTAAGGGAGTTTCGCTCGTAATGACGTTTTAACCGTTAAGATTCTTCGCTTAAGGGGACCTATTTTTTAATTTTATTTTAATGTAGGGCATTAGTCTTGGATTACTTCGTTCCGATTATTTATTGAATATGAAAGAGAATGAAATACCTTTAAATCTCTTTATTTAGGGCCTAGCTTCGATTTTATGTCAGTTAAACTTGAGATCTGGAGCGTAATTTCTGGTTTCGTATGAAGTTTTCTTCGTGAATTGTATACCTTGTAATGAACTTAACGATTTTTATTAAGTTTTGGAGTGTTTATACAACTGTTTAGAGGCCTAATTACCTTTAAATCATTTAATCTAGGGCCTAATATCCTGCTTTTTTCGAAAGATCTTGGACTTCGTATCATAAATTGTACGCCTCTTAAGAAACTTAACGATTTATATATTAAGTTTTGGAGTGCTTCTAGAGGCCTAATTATCTTTGAGATATTTTACTTGGGGCCTAATAACGATTTTAAACAGGTTTAAATTAGAGATTTAGAGCTTAGTTTCTTTTTTATATTAGTTTTTTCTTAGGCAATTTCTCATCATGAACTGTAAGCCTCGTAAGAAACTTAATGAAGTTTCTTACATTCTAAACTGTTTATACAACGATACGGTTACTTAATTACCTTTAAATTGCTTTAACTAAGGCCTAGTAAAGGTTTTAAGCGCCTTAAACTAGCGAGTTATGGCCTAGTATTAAGTTTTTTGACCTCGTAACATTAATTGTATGCCCCGTAAGAAATTTAATGACTTACATTAAGTTCGGTACTGTTTGTACAACGATGCAGAAGCCTAATTGCTTTTAAATTGCTTTGTCTAGGGCCTAGTATCGATTTTATGAGACTCTTTACAACGATCTATAGACTAGATTACTGTGGAAAGTCGTATGTTTTATAGAAAAGCCATATTTTCTGCAATGTTCTTGATGATTATTGTAGATTTTATATAATTAAATCGAACTAGAACTTATAATTCAATACTTCTTAACAAAAATTAATAATTTTTCCCCTAGTTTCAAGTGATTTATAGGCCCTAAAATCATCTTTTCAATGATATATCCAATATCCGAGTTCTCGCAACGTATACTTAATATAGCATTTTTCGGGCTTAAGTGAGCTTTTAAGGCCTCTTAAAGAGCATAAATATTATATATGCATGTTTGTATCAGGCTTTGTAAGAAATTAAGCTGTAAATCGTTAGAATTTTCAGATTATATCAGCAGGCCTTTCCTTGTAAACATTCAGAGCAATGAAAAACATAAGAATATCATCATTTGAAGAAGATTTTCTAACTGATAAGATTAAAATTTACTTATTTATTCGTGTATACAATTATTTAGACCCGTAAATAATCAAATTTTTCGGCAATTTACATGAGTATAACGATGCTGAATTGCTGGAGAAGATCATATTCCAACTCCTGCATCCGCATCCTTAGCAAGAACCATGGTATATAAGTTAATTTTTAGTACACTTAGAACTAAAGTTAGGCCCTATATCTATCGATACAAATGTGCCTTATCATAGTATATTATCTATAGAATACCCGGGGTCCTATCGTTTTTAGCCATCTTTGCCCGTTTCTTGTAAAATTGAAGATCCAAAGTCGATTATTACATCTTATCAGACGTATCCAAAGTTCATCTTTACAAGATTTTCATTGTCTAGATGCTAGGAAACATCGCAAGTTTCGCATTTTAACAGAGAAGAATCCCTGTTTTTGGGCTATCAAAAGGGCTTTACTGAACATAAATAAAGCATTTACTCTAAACTTGGCCATTTAAAATAGCAAAACACGTGTCTAAATTACTTTAGAAGCCTTTAAAAATGGATATATTTTTAACGTTTCTGGCTCAAAATATTCGATTTTAGGCTTTACATTTTAATAAATTTTAGCACATTTTAGTGTTTTTAAGTGTTTGAATATGTAATTAACTGTAAAAATGTAAAATTAAGCTTTTTTATTTGGAAATAATTGCATTTTTTGGGGGTGTTACTCGTCGATTTTAGGATCGAATCTTCAACAGATACGACAACAATTGCTACTCCCTGAAAGGTAATTAATTCCATAGAGCTATCGACCCATATAATAACAGGACTCTTATCTCTTCTTCACAATTACTTGTTTATTTTATGAATACGAGACTTGACATTCGTGTATAAGTGATAAAAATCGTACAGGAAGACCCTCCTATCACCTATAAAACAAAGATTCTTTCAGGAGACGTTCCCACGGAGGATAAGCAGGAAAATTGCCTTCCTGGCTTAAAAATAGCTCATTTAAATTTTAAAAAATTTGTCAACAAACTCAAAAATTTTTTCATCTACTTATAATTCGAGCCTTAAGATCAAAGGTCAAACTATCTTTCGAATCTACGTGGCTTGTTATTAAGTGCTGTGTTTGGAGCTAAATTCGCGCTCTGTAAAATTAAACATAATTAAATTTAAGTTATTTTCATATAAAATGATACTTCTAGCTTCAGTTTATAGAATTAATTCAAAGATAGAACCTCAAAATTATATGAAAAGTAGCTCTTGTCTTAGGCGAGTAAGTGCTACGTCCCCCTAGAAATATGTGGATTTTTAAGTTAAATTTTATAAAATTTTACTCAATTTTGAAGTTTTTAACAAAATTTAGACACGGTAGAAGGTATATATTACAAAAAATTCGATAAAATTGCCGAGAAATCCGAGTTAGAAGAGCGTTTTTTTCGAGTTAACAAAGCGCTTAAACTACACAGAAATTGGACCTTTCCGAAGATTCGAAGTATAAATTTAACTTAATAGTAGAGTTAAATCGAAAATATAGAAGAAAATAAGCCGAAAAATTAATTAAAATATAGAAAATATCGCATCTAAAGTACAGTAAGTATAGTTCTTGTGATTGATAAAACAGTTTACGAATCGTCGAAACACCCTTGAAAACTTATAGAATTTTCAATTAAATCCTTGGAAATTAATTTAATTTTGGGATTTATAATGATTTAAAAACACGTTAGATAATATATATATATATAAAATCTTTTAGAATTACAAAATACAGTAACAAAAGTACATCAAAAGTAGCTCTTGTTGTATTTAAGAAAAGGAAAACCTTTCGAAAATAAGTAAACTTTTTAAGTTAATTTTATAAAATTTTATTAGTTTTAAGATTCGTAATAATTTTTACATGCATTTAATAAGAAATTTCTAGAAAAATAACAAAAATTTGTAAAAAAATTAGTAAAAAAAACCGCAAAGAAAATACAACTTTTGCTACGGTTAAGCGAGGCAACTCTTCAAAAAAAAACAAATTTTTTTTACTAAATTACCATAAAAAGTCACGAAATTTTATGTTTAAAACAATCTCCAGACTCTAAAGATTCGAAATAACACGAGAAAATTGCAAAAAAATAGTTTAAAAAATTGAAATTTGAAAGTTATTTTTAACCAAGGACTTCGATGGTTCGGATGGAGGAGAAGAGAATTGGATGAAAGTCTTTAGAAATTGAAGATGAAGAGGAGGGGGAGTGGGCCTATAGGCAAAGTGTTTAAAGAGTGTGAGCAAGAGTAGAAAGTAACGCTGTTAATTTCTTCTCCTTTTAAAAGCAGATCAAACGAGAAAACTTTCGATGAACGGAAGGTGAAATCATTGAAGTGGAAGAACACTAAAGATAATTAGGTGATCATCTCCCTAAAGACAAAATAAAATACAAAATTAAATTCCTTGTTTGCAGTTTCCGATTTCTAATTAATTTTTCAACAAATCTACCACTTTTTTTTTTCTCTCTCTCTCTCTCTCTCTCTCCCTTGCCAAAACTTTCCACTTTAATATCCATAAAACATGAAAAAAATCTACAGAAAAAAAGAAACATTTTAAAACTAGAAAACATCACAAAAGTAATTACTTCAATAACTTTTAAATTCCATCAGCATTTGTAACATTATCGAATGAAAATGTTAGTTAAATAATTCAATCTGCTACTTCTTTAATTATTTCTTATCATGTCCTGAGGCTTACTTAAGGACATTATTTTTATATAATTCAAACGAAAATGCATTAAAACACACAATTCCCTCTCCTTTTCTCACACACAAAAAAAAATACATTTAAACTTTAAAAAAAAAAATACATTATTTATTTTATATTTTTAATTCAAATCCACAGTATGCCTCAAATTTTATGAAAGATGAACTTTATCACGTTTTTTTAAAGGTCACAAAGGTCCGAGTTGTATGCTCGTTTACTGTCTCAAAGGGCCTTTTCGTNACCACTTTTTTTTTTTTCTCTCTCTCTTTCCTCCCACTCTTTATTGGTTTTTTTTATTATTATTATTATATTAAACACTTCAGAAATAAATATTGCTCATAACCTTTCGCTAATTAAAACGATAAAAACCGAAACGAGCGTCGGAACTTCTTATATAAAAATCGCTGCTTATAGTTTCGAGTGTGTGAGTTTTTAAAATGTCGGCTTAATTAATAATCTTACGAATTAATTAGGAAATTTTTAATACCGTACGTAACCGTCACGTTTATAACGTTTAATTTTATAAAAAACGTAACGTTTTATTACGGGCGTAGTCGAGATTAAGTCGGTTACGAGTGTTAATTCGGAAACAATGATTTTGTTGTGAAAAATATATATTTTTCTGAATTGAAATTCGATCAAACTGGGAATTGGACAAACAACGGTTGTGTACGTCGAAGTAGGTGTACAGGTGAGACGTTTATGTAC